CAACTGGTAGCTTAATAGCCGTATAACGATCATGACAACTAACCTTGAAGATGCACTTGCAAGAATGGCAGAAGCAATGACACTGATGGCCAGGAACCAAGGACAACAGAACTACGTTGGTTTACAAGCAGCCAAAGTCAAGGTACCCGTGCCTAGTCATCTGTCGGGGGATCGTGATGCTGTTGAAGTGGACAATTGGATTGCTGACATGGACCATTACTTCAAGATCACGCAGTTGGGGGATCAAGATCAAATGGAGTTTGCTGTGACACTGTTTGGAACCAAGGCGAAGACGTGGTGGCGAAGATTGCAAGCCAATAAGGAATCCGATAAACCCAAGGATTGGAAGGAATTGAGTGAAGCAATCAAGGTGGCTTTCAAACCTGCTGGATCATACCTAAGTGCAAGAAATCAGTTTGCTGCGTTACGTCAAGATGGATCTGTGGTCACTTACAGCGAAAAGTTTGAAGAATTGCGATTGGTGATTGGTGATGTGTCCGAGGCTGAAGGTTTGGACAAATACATTCGTGGACTGAAGCCAGATGTTCAAGCTCACGTACGAACATACGCGCCGAAGAATGTTGATACTGCCCAAAGCCAAGCCCTGGCCTATGATGAAGCGCATAACCCTGTGGAGTCAAGACCAAAGTGGACAAGGAAGGACAATGCTACGCCCATGGAGTTGGACTATGCTGATACGCCATTCAAGAGAAATCACCGTGGGAAGAAGAATTTCCAAAATCAAAAGAAGAAGGCCATCAACAAGAAGAAATGTTGGATCTGTGAAGAAGCTGGACATTTTGCCAAGGATTGCGATTTGGTAGAACAAGCGAAAGCTTTAAAAGGCCGAGCGCAAAGATAGTGAGGGGAGCTTCTTTGTGCGTAACTACAAATCCCCAAAACAACAAGGTGGACAAGGTGGACAAGGTGGACAAGGTGAAAACGACTGTGTTGGAAGCAAGAAGTGACCGTTGGAAGAAGGAAAGCGACCATCTGCATGAGCTGAACACAACTGTGGATTCGACTGGACTGCCTACGTATGAAGCGTTCATCAAGGATGAGCCGATAAAGGTGTTGATTGATTCTGGTGCTTCCGCTAATTATGTATCAAGACGTTGGGCCAAAGGTCTGAAGAAAACCAAACTGCAAGAAGCATTGCCAGTGAAGACTGCTACCGCGGGTGTAACGTGGGTAGATTCGATGGTGGACATTCCGATAACATTCCGGGGAAGTACTGGTGTGAAGATGAAGTATATTGTCAGGGCATTAATTTTTCCAAGTCGATTTGATTTGATATTAGGGCTAGATTGGTTGGAGGGTGCTAATCCTGTGGCAAATTGGACTGATCATACGTGGACTATCAAACAATCGAATGGTGACATCGTGTTGGAACCGCAAACCGCTTATCAAGATGTTGAATTGAATTTCGTGTGTACACCTAAACAAGCAGAACGTGCCGCTAAACGAAATGAAGATATGGGTTGGCTGTTAGTAACTGATACGAATGGTCCTAATGTTGTGAATGCCTTTCAAAACAAGATAATGAAGGATTATGCTGACCTCTTCAAAGATGAATTACCTGATCTACCACCTGTGCGCGATATTGAACATGTCATTGATACGGGCGATGCCAAGCCGGTAAGCCGTTCACCATACAAGACCAGTCCCAAGGAATTGATGGAACTACAAGATCAGTTAAGCAAGTTGAAAGCCAAAGGATTGATTGAACCAAGCCATTCACCGTGGGGTGCACCCGTGTTGTTCGTTCGCAAAAAAGACGGAAGCATGAGGTTGTGTGTCGACTATCGTGCAATCAATAAGGTGACCATCAAAAACAAGTACCCATTGCCAAGGATCGACGAATGTTTGGAGCAACTTGGAAACGCCAAATATTTTTCAACATTGGATCTGAAGTCTGGATATCATCAAGTACGCCTAAGGGATCAAGACAAGGAAAAGACCGCATTCAACACCCGCTACGGACAGTTTCAATTCAAGGTGCTGCCATTTGGATTGACCAATGCCCCGCCAACCTTTCAAGCTCTAATGAATCGTGTATTGGAAGAATTTGAAGATAAGTTTGCGCTTGTCTACCTTGATGATATATTAATCTTTTCCCCTACCTTAGATCTGCATAAGAAGCATGTACGCATGGTGCTGGATAAACTTCGTGACCATCAACTCTACTTGAATCCGGAGAAGTGTCAATTTGGTGTGCAAGAACTGTCGTTTGTTGGATACAAGGTGACCGCTAATGGTATACTGCCGGAGGATGTCAAGGTGAAGAAGATCAAGGAATGGCCAACGCCAAGTAATGTCCAAGAAGTGCGTCAATTTTTGGGATTAGCTTCGTATTACCGCCGATTCATTGCCAACTTTGCCAATATAGCCGCACCAATGACTGATTTGACTCAAGGCCAAGGACCCAAGCGACGGCGAATACAGTGGACCGAACAGTGTGACAAAGCATTTCAACAGTTGAAGGATAGTCTAACCAATGCTCCAATTCTACGTGCGCCTGACCTGAATCGACCGTATACTATATATGCTGATGCTTCTGATTTTGCCTGTGGTGCTGTACTGATGCAAATTGATGATCGTGGTCAAGAATATGTGGTAGCATTCGAATCACATAAGTTTTCAAAAGCTGAACAAGCCTACCCTGCTCAAGAAAGGGAACTGTTAGCGATTCTGCATGCTTTGCGCACATGGCGATGTTTTATTGAAGGTGCTGACTATGTGGTATATACTGATCATTTACCTTTGAAGTACTTCCGTGCACAGAAGACCCCTACGCCTAGGTTGACCCGTTGGATGAATGAGTTGGAATTGTATGACCCAGACATTCAATACCGTCCTGGTAAAGATCAAGTTGTGCCCGATGCCTTGTCTCGTATACCATGTAATGCTGATGATCCCTTGGAAGATGATGTGCCAGTGGTGTCCGAATATGTGTATGCTTTGGATCAAAACCTACCAACAATAGCGCATGAGTCTGATTGGCCGTTATATTTGCTGTGTGATAATCAAGATGTACCTACCGAAATCCAAGAACGATTGCAAGTTGGACAAGACGACTGGAAGGTAACTGAAGACAAAATTGTGCTGAAACGTCGTGGTGCTGATGACTGGGTGCCGTTTGTGCCGTTTGTGGAGCGTGCCGATTTGGTCAACAAATATCATCAACAAGCTGGTCATGCCAGTATCAAGACTATGATGCATCTGATGGAATCCCGGTGCTGGTGGCCGTACATGGATAGGGATATACGCAAGTGGTTGGAAGTCTGTCAAGAATGTCAGTTGGCTGGTCGCCCAGAAAAGTCTAAACATAAAGCAATGTTACATCCTATGGTATCTGCACAACCTTTTGCACGGTGGCATCTAGATTTTGTTGGTGAATTACCTGTAACCCGTCAACGCAATCGGTGGATTCTGGTGGCTGTGGATTCTGCGACAAATTGGCCTATAGCAAGAGCCTGTCAAGATGCAAAGGCAACTACAGTGGCAAACTTTTTGTATGAAGAAATCGTGCTTCGTTTTGGCTGTCCACAAGAAATTGTGTCGGATCGGGGAAGTCAATTCATGTCGGATGTTGTAGCCAAATACACACAAAGAATCAATATTAACCATAAATTCACATCAGCTTTTCACCCTAGAACAAATGGGAAAGTGGAAAGGGTTAATGGAATGATCAAGACAATGCTACGCAAGTACTTACATGGCGCTATTCATGAATGGGATACATACTTGGACTCTGCTGTGTGGGCTTTGCGAATTCGTAAACATTCTGCTACCGGATATTCGCCTTTCTTCCTGGTGTATGGTCGTGACCCAATATTGCCTGGTGATTCTTTGCGTCCGTATTTGTCAAGAGAAGAAGTCAATGACCCGCTGTCGGTGAATGCACGTTCAGCCAAAGAACTAGAAGACCTTGGACAAGCCCGCGCTGCTGCTGAATTCCGCGCCAAATCGTATGCCGCAAAAGTCAAGGAGAGGTGGGATGCTGTGATCAAACCGGTTGGCTTCGATGTTGGTGATCTTGTGCTGCTACGATTGGAACAACGATATGGGTTGGAATATCATTGGCAAGGTCCGTACCGTATTGAACAGAAGAACGATCAAACTGATGTATACAAGCTGTCGACTTATGGTGGTGAAGTAAAACAAGACTGGGTGCATGTTGATCGACTGAAAGCAGTGAAAGCTATGGACAAGATACTGGAAACAAAAACATGGTTCGATGTTAGTACTTCAAGAGCAAAGTGGCCTGCTGGTGCTTTACGCGACCATTCAATTGTGGACCTACCATCGGTGTTGCCGGAATTGTCTGTGAATAATCAAGTTGAAAACAACCCATTGCAAGAAGAACCTGCTGTTGGTGAAGAAGCGTTGCCGCCAGAAGAAGATACGGAAATTGGTGTTGAAGAATTCCCTGCTGAAGAAGAACTGCCGCCTGATGAAGACACGGAAATTGGTGTTGAAGAATTCCCTGCTGAAGAAGAACTGCCGCCTGATGAAGATGTTGACATTGCTGCTGCTATTGGTGAAACTGAATCTACTGGTGTTGATGACCGCTTGGAAATTGATGTTAACAAGACGTTTGATGTTGATGTGGAACCTGTGGAAGACAATGAAGAAAAAAAAGCAAGAAAGAAAAAAATGCCGCCACTGGAAATCAAAATAAACAAACGCCGCAAGCCCCTTATCAAGATTCAGATCCCGACACCGATGTGGATGTTCGAGGTCGAACATCAAGCTTGGGGGGAGGTGTTGTCAAATCTTGGCCCTCAAATTCTGTTGGTGTGCCTGTAGTCCTACCAGCCCTTGGTAAGCGCTTGGTGAAGCACAACAACAACAACAATAGTGATTTGATATAAATAGTGTATTTTATTCAATTAATAAAAAAGGACAATCTTTAACTATCTAAAAACTTATTCTAAAAACTACTGTCCCAGTGACCCAACTATATATACATCCCCTGATTTAACATTTCAGTTGAAGCGCGGTTGGTTAAAGTGGTATAATCTTCGCCTGCCACGCGAAGGGCCGGGGTTCGATTCCCCGACCGCGCAATCATCTTTTTGCAAATATCTGTTTTAATTTTGCTCACACGATTGTTACTGTTACGGCCAATTTGGGTAAGAAGCTTGTAACAGAGTAGTGTTTTTGTAGGTTTTTATATTTTTCTGGGTTGAATAGGATGTCTTGTGTTACGGCCAATTTGGGTATGTAGCTTGTAACAGAGTAGTGTTTTTGTAGGTTTTTATGTTTTTCTGGGTTGAATAGGATGTCTTGAGTTATCCTTTAGTATAGCTTTTGCTTGTTTAGAGTTGATAATAAATTTGTTCCTTGAACGGCATTTGAAATATCTTGTTCCTGAATCGGACAAAAATAGAATTGAGAGTAGTGAGCACCAGAACTTTTGTAGATAAAGTCCAACTGTAGAGAAAGTTTATAAAAAATAAACTTGGAAAAGTAAAATAAAATAAAAAAGATAAGTATTGACCTTTGTTGGTTCAATAAAAATAAGTGTATAACACACAGTAAAAATAAAAGAGGACGTAGTTACAAAAAATAAAAGAAAATTTCTATATAGACGATAGAAACAAAATAAAAATAAGACAGTGATTTGGTGGTTAAAAACCTTTGTACTGAATTTTATGTAAAAAAGATTGAGATAAATATATGATAATAATTAACTAAAAAAAAGAGAATTGACTGGGGAAAGGTGGGGTATTTATACTAAAAAATAGAGGGGCGGCGAGTGCTGAACGTGATAAAAAATATAAATATAAAATAGATAAACGTGATAAAAAATATAAAATATAAAAGGGATAAACGTGATAAAAGAAAAAGGAAGGGGGAGAACTTAATCTTGCATGGCCCAGCCAAGCGCGTCACTAATACCAAAAATGGCATTTAGCATGCCACTCATTGGAGGTGCCTCAACAGTTGTTATATGAAGTGTGTACCAGATATGTACTGTTACGGCCAAATTGGGTGTGAAGCTTGTAACAGAGTAGCGTTTTTGTAGGTCTTTATATTTTTTTGGGTTGAATAGGAAGTCTTGAGTTATCCTTTAGTAGCTTTTGCTTGTTTAGAGCTTGAAAATAAATTTGTTCCTTGGGAGGCATTTGAAATAGATTGTTCCTGAATCGGACAAAAATAGAATTGAGAGTAGTGAGCACCAGAACTTTTGTAGGTAAAGTCCAACTGTAGAGAAATTATATACAAAAAAAAAAAACAAAAAAAAAAAAAACGCTCTGGCGCTCCGCTGGATCCTTTGGATATCTTTCGATTTATTGGGTGTCACATTTTTTTTATTAAAGTGTGGGTTTTGATGGGATAGGATTAAAGCCTCCACCATTTAGCACCATGGTGGGCAGCCCCTTGGGGCCAACGTCGTGCTCAGCGCGTCGTCAATGGGTTTTTTTTTGTTTGCTGAAATAATAGCTTACTTGAAAGGCGTCAGAGACATTAGAGCTTGATTATGTAGGGGTTGTAACTGCCTTTCCACTGGAAGATAAAACGAATTATGCACTACGGTAATTATGGCGGCTGCCCTTCCCTGATTTTCTGACATAAAAAAAAAAGGCTGGATGATTCAGGCTCCGCATTTTGCTTCCTATTTTTTTTTTTTGGTCCCCTTTTTGGTCCCTCTATTTTTCTTTCTTTTTTATTTTTTTCCTTCATGATAGTCTGAATGATATGATGGCAAGGCTCATTGGGGAATTGGTGATCTAGGATTAGTGTTAGAACTTGAATCAGGGCATTTTTCAAAATTGCATTACAAATATACATGAGGATCCCTTTCATTTTGAATTCAAGATTCGGAACACCCTTCCCATGAAATTAGTTTTCCTCTTGCAATAGTATTATCAAACCATCACTAGCTTACTTTAGTATCGGTTGTCATAGCTTATACCAAACTTGAATAAAATATGTCTCGTCTATTTTTTAACCTTTAATCGCTCTTGTATGTTTAAGTTGTCTTCTACTGTTGATCCGTTTCTTACTTTCGCATGCCTTCTACATTAGCGCTGACCTTCCCAGTTTACGTGTACGCCTACGTTACAAAACACTTTTTTTTTCTTATTAAACCAACACCTTTAAACCCTCTTGTGTAATAACGATTTCTTTATTGATAGCATTGTTTACTCAATCTTCTTCTGAAAAGATTGCTTAGCACTCACTATATTTTTTATCCACTCTCAGGGAGCTTCAACGTCAAAGTAATTAATGAAGAGCAATACAATAGTAAATACAGAAGTACCGATTTATTGTGAATACAATCTGGCATTTTATTTTCCTTTAATTTTTGATCAGATTTCATTCCTTCTGATATCCATCGGGTATTGAGGAATTCATTCACTTCGCTCGGTCAAACTTTAAAATGGTCGACCGTGGAAGACTTTTCGCTGGGAACAGATCAAAATGCATGGTAATTGGCCAATTTAATCAGGGTGTTCTCACGCTCTTTTTGTATCGGATTCAAGTCCAACCTTATTGTTTGTCGCTCTTTTTCCACTCTACCATTCCGAACATTGATCTCCCACCCAGTCAGATAAAAGTGATTTTTTTTTTTTTCATCCAATCTTTTTTTTTCTTCTCTCTTTCCTTTTACATTTTTATTATATTTTATTTTATCATGCAAGGTAAAATACGAAAATGGCCATAACCACATTTGTATGACTCAACATTTTCATTGTAATAGACGTTTATATTGCTGCTGTCAGTCGAACACCTATCGGAGGATACAATGGTTCTCTATCATCATTATCAGCTACCGAGTTAGGCTCCATTGCTATCAAAAGTAAGAATTATTATCTCCCCCTCACTCTTTTTTCTCATTCTGTTTACACATCCTCTACTTGAATAGGTGCTGTGGAAAAAATAGGTTTGACAAAGGAATTAGTCGAAGAAGTTGTCTTTGGCTGTGTGCTCAGTGCAAATATCGGTCAAAATCCGGCGAGGCAAGCGGCTATAGGTGCTGGTCTTTCTAACGAAACAGTAGCTACGACTGTCAATAAAGTTTGTGCCTCTGGTTTGAAAGGTATTTTTTATTTTTTTAAAAAAACTAGCATGTGGGCGGGCTTTAAATATATTTATTTTACTCCTCATCTTAGCGACCATCATGGGAGCCCAGAGCATCATGACTGGACAAGCCGATATTGTAGTGACAGGTGGGATGGAATCTATGAGCCAGACACCTTATTACTTACCACAACAACGATTTGGCAGTACATACGGTCATGGACAGGTGGTGGATGGTGTATTAAAAGATGGGCTGACCGATGTGAATCATGGGTATGCGATGGGCGTGGCAGCTGAATTGTGCGCAACTACTCACGAAATCAGTCGAGATGATCAAGACGATTTTGCCATTCGATCCTACCGCCGAGCACAGGAAGCCACTGAGGCGGGAAAATTCCTCAAGTATGAACTTACTCCGGTGACGGTGATGCAAAAGAAAACTCAACGAACAGTAGATCGGGACGAAGATGTGTTCAAATTGGATGAAAACAAATTACGTCAGGTCCGCCCTGCTTTTGTGAATAAAGACACACCATCTGGAATCATCCCACATGGCTCCGTGGGTACTGTTACCGCTCCCAATTCATCTCCTCTTTCCGACGGTGCGGCTGCCCTCGTCCTCGTCTCAAAAGCGGCTGCAGAACGTTACCAATTACCTTTGCTTGCTCGAATCCGAGGTTTTGCTGACGCCGCTCAAGAATCAAGTAGATTTACCACCTCCCCTAGTCTGGCCATCCCGAAAGCTGTCAAGCGAGCTGGTCTCTCAATGGATCAAATCCAATTTTTCGAATTAAACGAAGCATTTTCTGTGGTGGGTTGTGCCAATATGAAGTTGCTGAACTTATCTTCTGATAATGTGTAAGTGGCTTTTTATTAGTAATGTTTTATATCTTATTTTTCTCATTCTATTTTTTAAAGGAATATTTGGGGTGGAGCGGTTGCAATGGGCCATCCGTTAGGCTGTTCAGGGGCAAGAATTTTATGCACTTTGTTATCTGTGCTGACAGATGAGAACGCCACTTTTGGGGCCTGTGGAATTTGCAATGGTAATCAATCATCTAACTTGATCTATCTTACTCAATCTTTTGTTTTTTTTTATGTAGGAGGAGGAGGAGCTACTGCAATGGTCATTGAACGACTATATTACCACTATACTACTACTACTGTTATATATAAATAAAACCTGCCAATTTTTTATTCTATTTTTGACATCTAATTTCTCCTTTTTGCACTGTTCCTATTTGCCCCCTTTTTTTTTTTGGTCATATTTCATACATTTTATTGTGATGCCATATGAATAACTCTCTATCACTTCTTTTATAGCTGAATAAAGGTTATTCCCTCCTCTTTGTATATATCAAAAAAAAAGCCGGACAATTGGACATATTTCACATCCCGCCCACGTGAATCATTATTTATTTCCACCTTTTTTTGCCTCCGCCTCCTTTTTCATTTTCTTTTTCCTTCCTCTTTTTTTCTTCACCATTCAACTTCTTTGAGGTTATGGTGATATGAGATTAGTATCAGGACTAGTTTAGAAAGGTTTTCAGCTCAGGGATTACAAGATGCTTCGGGAAACCTTTTCATTTTGGATCTGGATCTGGTTCCACCATTGGGTGGCTTTCTGGGCCTCCAATAGCTTAGTTTAGTATTATTTGTCATAGCTTGCATATACATTCAATAAAATATGTCAAGTAAATTGATAAATATGTCCCATTAGTTTCTCACATGTCTTGTACAATAGATCCCTTGTGCCATCTCCCTTTAGATTAGAGTTGAATGTTGTTAATATTCAATAAAAGATAGCTCTTTACTGTTTCTAACCCACTGTTATAGCACATTAGATTCCTTTTACAATTTACCCTTATCTGGGTGTTGATAATTTATTAGATTTATTCTTCGTCATAATACATCTATTAGACCTCTTCTTCTACTGAAACTCACGTTTTTTAGTTTTGTATTACTAATGTACCCCCAATAATACATGTCAGACCCATTAGATAGTAACAATACAATTATTGTGGCTTGTTCGAGAGTG